ACCACCCCGACCCCGACGCCCAGCACAGGTGAGGCCCAGGGCCATGCACCCCTTTCCTTAGGGCCCTGGCCTTCCCCTGCACCCTGGGCGGGGCCAGCAGAAGTGGCTCTTCTAGGGGCAGGAGCATGGCTTGTGCAGCAGGTCTCACCTCTGCTCCCAGGCGGGAGGTGACACTGGCATGCCGCTCGACTCAGGGAATGAATGTCCCCGGGGCTCCCAGCCTGGCCAGTGTCATGACTGCACCCCCAACCCCAGACCACGGTGAAGGCAACCGGGGGGCATTTTCTAAAACCAGCCAGAAAAATATCCCTTCGGGTTAGAGAATGCCGAGAAATGCCCTTCAGTTCCTCGGCGTTGGTTCTGGTCGAGATAGCAGCCCCCACTGAACACGCCAGCAGGGACAGGACAGACACGGGAAAAAGAAACCTGTGACAGTGGAAACGATAATCTGTGGGTCTTAAACTATATAACGAATGACGTGCTTTTCTTCCCACTTCCCTGCAGTGTCACCTCCCTCTTCGACAACACCGAGTAAGTGTGTGGACGTGACTTCCGGGGGCAGCCGGGCAAGGAGAGAAGGTCCCACTGAACCCTGGCAGAGTGGCCCTCACACCCTGGCCACCTGCTTAGGGACCACAGATGGTCCGGGGACTGATGCAGGGGACTTGGTCAGCTCTGGGTGACAGCATTGGTGGTCAAGAGTTGAGACAAAGCCTCTTCCGGCATGCGTGCCTCCTCACTGGAATGGATGACCCTCCCTCTCTCCTTCCCCCCATCTCTTCCTTCCTTCATCCTCATGTGAGANAGCCTCCCCGGAGCCCTGAGAGACCCGTGCCCGGTGGCGGGGCCTTGTTCCAGGAGCAGGGCTGGCGTGGGGGCCTGCGGGGGAAGGCCTGCCTCATGAGGCCCGTGTGGACCCAGGCACATGGCGGCTTCTCCCCCAGGTGGACCCCAAGCCCTTCTATGAGGCCTGCGTCCAGGACTCCTGCTCCTGCGACACGGGCGGGGACTGCGAGTGCTTCTGCTCTGCGGTGGCCTCCTATGCCCAGGAGTGCATCAAAGAGGGCGCCTGCGTGTTCTGGAGGACACCGGACCTGTGCCGTGAGTGCCCGCCTGGCCTGGCCTCCCCGTGCCCCTCCGCTCCCCCCTCGCCC